ACTATTGCCTAAGTGCGTAAGCATGTGAAGTATGGATGTATGTGTAACTCGACATTGGTTCAATAATATCTATACGCACAGGAGGGGAAAAAAAAAAAAAAAAAAAAACACAAGACATGAGATACCATGAGATGTGTGAGAAGAAAAAAAAAACATTATATCTATCTATCTATATATTACACATTTCGTTAAAAGTGAACCTTTTGATTATTCACTTTTTGTAACAAAGCCGGAATTCATGTTGGAGCGACATAAATAAGAATAAATCGAAACAATCATTGGTAAGTGTTGCTAAGTGGGCAGTGATATGGGTCAACTGCCATCGTTTAAAGTACTGGACCCATCACACACACACACACACACACACACACCCCACCCAACCCCAACCACCCCAGCATACCAATGGTGTTCGAAGTTCTCCCTTGTAGGCAATCGTCACGGTAGCCTTTTGTAGCGGCCTTCGGTCGGCAACTCAGAATAAACTCCTGGTTTGTTCGAGTGCTCCGGGCCCATCAACATGCAAATTGTGCGCTTGATTATGGCCACAACATAGTTCGTAGTGAGTGGGATACGTACTTCAGCCCCCTCCCCCCCCCCCCCCCCCCCCCCCCCCCCCAGTGCGCCGGTTCGCGAGCCGGAGCGCATTATATGAGATTGCAACTGGATTCGATCACCCATGGCATACCCGTTGTCGACTCCTTTTAGCAAAAAAGGTTCGGGCATCAGACATTATCTGAGATTGCAATGGTGGGTTCTTAGGGACGGTGGCGAGCGGAGGCCGTTGTTGTTACGTTGTTTTCTGTTGTTTCGTGTTTTTGTGTATACGTTTTATTTTTAATACCATGTTCGTAGTGAGCGACATACGCACTTCATCCGCCCCCCCACCCCCCCTTCCCCCTCGTACCGGTTCGCTAGCCGGACCACATTATATGAGATTGCAACTGGATCCGATCACCCATGGCACACCCGTTGTCGACCCGTTTTAGCAAAAGTTTCGGGCATTAGACATTATATGAGATTGCAACGGCGGGTTCTTAGGGACGGTGGCGAG